AAGCAACAAAATACAAAATAAATACAGCGCCGCGGTACAAATCATTCTAAAAACCTATTTAATAGATCCATGACACTGGTTTTATGACAGATAACTACCCAAGGAACTTCATCAACAAAATCAACACAGACATTAAGTATGGCCGAAAACGCATTCCGAAAACATGGACATCGACAGTCGTCATTCCATATAGAGCAGAGACATCAGACGATATCAGAAAAGTACTCAATCAGCTCGACATTAGAGTTTTCTTCAAAACATCAGACACACTACGAAACAACCTTGTCCATATAAAAGACCAAATCCTTAAAGATTCTCTATCTATTTGTGTCTACAAAATAAAATGCTTGGAATGTGATGCGATATACATTGGACAAACATCTCGGGAAATCAAAATCAGAAGAAATGAAGACCGCAGAGTATCCGATAGACCAACCACAGAGAAAACCAGTTAGTGAACAAGAAAAGCTTGAAAAATCATCAACCATAGGTCTACACGCTATAGAATCAGGCCACAAAACTGATTTTGACAATATTGAAATCATCAACCAGAAAAATTTCAGAAATCACAAAGAACATCTAATATCAGAATCACTCCACATCAAATAGAATCCAAATTGTCTGAATAGGAATGATGGACTAAAACAGAATTCGACCTGGTTACAACACGTCCCTCCCCCATGAAGTCACAGAATGAAAACGAATGTGATAAGCAGGTTCACTATTTAAACACACACTGCCTTTATAATTTTACACACTGATCAAATCCAACATTCTACGCTTGGTTTTGTTATCTTTACCAATTCACCGACTTGACAACTAAAAAATGCCCCCAGACTAACGAACGATGATCAAGTTAATAAACTTTGTTTTGATATCATAACAGATGTACTATCACCTTTGTTATTTGGTTTAGTGATCTTCATTGTTATTTTGACTTTCAATATGTCCCTTTAACTTGACCTAAGTCTATAAGTTATACATATATGCTGAGATTTTGTAAATTCTGGTTTAATAATACTACTACTTTGATAAAGCTATTAGCAACAGCATTAAATAGCGAAACGTCAGTAAAAACAGCAATATGGTTTTGTTTTTCATTCATTGGGAAATAAAAGAAAACCTTTATTATAATGAATATCATATACCCAATGCCCAAATTTTTTCAAACTGTTAAAAGGGAACTTGGTTTGGACATATATAATGATAACTATGTATACTGAAACCAGTGGAACATATTTTTGAAGAAACCAGCTCATACACATCGAAACACTCTCAAAAGTGACAATTTCAGACAGGTTCCTGGTAGAAATAAGTATTCTTTATCTGGGCATATGTTGTTTGAAGGACAAATAAGGCATTGCTGAATATGCATTCCGTTTTATAATACGCTACATTGAACTAGAACACAGGTTAGTTAAATTTCTTAACCTTGCTGATAGGATGAACCAATACGTGACTTCAATCAGTCCTTCTATGGTAAAATTCTGCTCCTGTATGCCTCTTTCGACATTTTTGTATGGATTGGTTCGCAGTTACTCAGGTTCCAGACCGAAAAGAATCAAAAATTCACCGGTTGCTGAATTATTAATACTTCTCTGCATGTTTAACTGGATAATAACTGCTGTGGTGAGCCTTTTGCAGATTATATTGCTTAAAACATCGTTTACGGTAAACTAACTAACGTTTTTAAGCCATTTTTATACTTTTGTGAGTAGCCCACCATATCGACCGAATGTAACGCAACACTCAGTTGTTACGCTCATTTTCAACAAATTCAAACAATAATGGTGTCTAGGATTATGCCATATAAACTGTTTTAACTTATGCAGAGTGTACCTACGGTGAATATTCCATTATCTTCCCTTGTATATATATCTTGTGTTAGTGAAAAATTTTAAACATGTCTACTCCATGTGTGCATTATTATCATATTGATGATGCCTGTCAACTGGAGTCCCTCATGTGCATAAAGTGAGAATATATTATTATAAGACGCATTTTATTGTTTTATGAGGGAACTGACTTCAAGCTTTATTTATTTTCCCAAGTATCTGTAATCCATCCAACGAATACTTGGGTTTTTTTTGTTAATGCGAAGTCAATATCTCTATATTTCTTGATGTGTTCCATTGAATCACCAGTTATCCGACTTTTCCCACAAACTAAAGATAAAATGACAGCAACCATGTTATTTAACCGTAAATCATGTAATTAAATAATACTTATCCATACCTATACAACTTGTGTGTCCTACATTTGTAGGAATAAATATGTACCTAATTATATTATCATTACTAACTATACTTACTAATCGTATGTGTAATTTATCGAATTGATGACGCCTGTAAACTGGCGTCCCTCATATACAAAAATGAGAATATACTATTATTATTATTATTAAAATATATGAAGTGTAGACTTGTGGCGCTTGTGAAGCTCAAGCACATTCATACTGTAGTCACAGAAATGATTCAGAATGACTAAACATTTCATACAAGAAGCTTTAAAAATGACCAGCAGTATTATTTTGATACCCTTTTGATATAGAATGAATACCTCCAGTCTTTTATAGTTAATCAGTTTATCATTACGAACAAGAGAACAGGCTGTGATTATAAGTCTTAAAGTTTGGTTAAGTCCATTAAAAATAGCAATATGGTGTGGAACAACACACTGAAATCGGACCCAGAGACGAAAGCAGATATGCTGACTCCACTATTACAAAAGGTCTGGAAGGAGGGAAAGGTACCTACTGAGTGGAGAAAAGTATACCTGGTGAAACTAACAAAGAAGGGCGACCTAGGACTCTGCAAGAACTGGCGAGGAATCATGCTCTTGTTGACGCCAAGTAAAATCCTGAGTCGCATCATCCTGGAGAGAATAAAGGACGCACTGGATACAGAACTCCGACCAGAACAATCTGGATTCAGGAAAGGCGAAACATGTGCTGACCAAATTGCAACTCTACGCATTATCATCGAACAAAGCATGGAATGGCAATCAAACCTCTACCTCAACTTTAGAGACTTTGAGAAGGCCTACGACAGCGATGACCGCGAAGTAATTTGGAAACTACTCAAGTACTACGGCGTACCCCAAATATTCATCAACCTTATTCAACAGCTGTACGACAACGGCACATGTTAAGTGATCCACAACGGAAAACTCAGCGAGGCGTCTAGAGTAAACACAGGAGTCAGACAAGGGTGCTTATTATCACCAATGATATTCATAATTGTGGTGGACTGGATTATGCGTCAGACAGTGGGAAACGAGAAGACGGGGATATCCTGAACCGACGTGAAGAACCTAGGAGACCTAGATTTCGCGCGTGGATGATTTATGTTTGATGTCACACAAAATCGAAGACTTACAAGTGAAACCCGACAAACTGGTCGAAGAAGCAGCCAGAGAAGACAGGACTCCTTGTGAACATAGACAAGACGGAGGTTATGAAAATAACCAACCAACAACAACAACAACAGCAGCAACATCCAGCGCCAACCACCATCAACGGGAGGGATTTGAAAGAGGTTAATTCATTCACTTATCTAGGGAGCATTGTCCCAACCACAGGAGGAACGTACGAAGATGTCAAATCGAGAATCGGAAAGGCGAGAAATACACTCATCAACCTGAAACCAATCTGAAAATCTTCGTCCCTCACCATCAACAACAAAATTCGGATTTTCAATACAAACGTCAAGTCAGTTCTTCTATACGGATCAGAAACTTGGCGGGTCACAAAGAATATTTCCAACAGGTTGCAAACCTTCATCAACAGCTGTCTTCGCTCTATACTCAAGATCAGATGGCCGCCGGAAAGAATCACCAACAAGGAACTATGGGAACAAACAAAACAAGAACAAAACAATCGCCCAATAAATATGCAGGAGAAAGTGGAGATGGATTGGACACTCGCTGAGGAGGCCGCTGGGTGACATCGCGCGTCAGGCCAGTGCTCGAGTGGAACCCGAAAGGGAATTGGCGAGTGGGACGTGCAAGGGTGACATGGAGGAGATCGTGTGAAGAGGAGTTAAAACAGTATGGATTAACATGGATGCAGGTGGAAAGTACAGCAGAAGACAGAAGCAAGTGGATACGTGTAGTTGAAGCCCTATGTTCCACTATGAACCCAAGGGAACAGTAATAATAATAATCTATAGATTAAACGAACGACAAGTGGACACATTCTCAAAAGAAGTGGCGAAGACAGGATATCAAGTGAATGTAGAGAAGACACTGGTGTTGAAGTTATCTGACCTCCAACAACTATAGGCACCAATCACCATCAACGGGAGAAATTTGAAGGAAAGCATCTCTTTCGCTTTCCTAGACAGCTTTGTTCCAAATACAGGTGACATGAATGAGAATTTCAAAGCTAACTAGGACAGACCTACATTACAGTGTAATCAGAGTGTAAATCTGCTTTAGTCGGCGTAAAGAACAAGATTAGGATTTTTAACACCAATACCAAGTCAGTATGTACTTCTAAATGGTTCAGAGACTCGACGTGTTACCAAAATCATTTCAAAAAGGTTTCAGATTTCCATCGACGGATGTCTTCACTGTTTCAATACTGAAGATCGAATGGCCCGTAGTGAAGGACTAGTGACAAGGGACTCTGGCGGGCAGTGGACCAAGACAGAGATGAGATGTTTATGGGAAATCATGAAGCCAGCTAAAAAGAACTACAAAGAACATGATGGAAGACAGATGAACTGTTGAAGACGTATGTTCCAATCGGAACTCAAGGGAATGATGATGATAATAATAATAATATCACTTTAAAATAAAAATATATCCCTGTAAATAATATTTTATGATGAAAACACTGTCCGACACGATCTAATGAACACACCGACCATTTTTCAACTACAGCTTTAATCATAGGCGTCACCAGTGATAAACATACATCAGTGGAGAACGTTCCATTACTGAAAGACAATTTCTTCAAAAAAGTATTGACAAATTTGAGAATGAGGAATAACAACATCAAATATTTATTACATATATATATATAAAGATTTACTTAACATTTACGAGTGTGGTAAACATTCTCAAGTAATCATTTATAAATGTGTTCACATCTGGGTGGGATATGATCATCTTTTTGTGAATTCACGAATTCAGCAGGACTTATCAATAGGGGTTTTTCTTTCCATTCTCATTTTGCAAGCTCCTTCATCAATTGTTCAACTGCTTTCTTGGCCTAAATTTGTTTTGTTTTTTTAAAGAAAAAATGAAAGCAGATGATGATTAGGAGGAGTACAAGTGCAAACAGTATAATTTCATGAAAGCTTTCAACTACTATCCATAATCAATTCTATGGAGAAATGAAGAAATCAGACCAACGGGCATGTATACGCCAAGATTGTATGGCCTACTTAAAGTGCATAAACCAGGGGTACCGTTAAGACTAATACTTGATATGCAAAATTCGCCCTACCATGCTGTAGCTAGATACATGGTTAGTAAATATTCTCAAACTATTGCATGAGAAGATAGTGAAATATAGCGTCAAATATGTATTTGAATTCGTAGACAAAATACAAGATATTAATATCAAGGACAAAACCATGATATCTCTGGACATAACATCGTTATTCACAAATGTACCTCTAAGAGAAACAGTTAATTACATATGTGAACAAGTGGATAACCAGTCGATAAACATTGGCATCCGTACTGAAATCCTAAAAGAATTGTTATTAAGGTGTACCATGAATGTAAACTTCAAATTTGACAGCACGCTTTACAGGCAAGTGGACGGGGTGGCGATGGGCTCCCCATTGGGTCCCATTCTGGCTGATTTCTTTCTAAGTAAACTAGAAAATGGACCTTTGAACAACCCCTTATCAGTAAGCTCTCATTTTATTGCCGATATATGGATGACACATTCATTCTTTGTGATAATGGTTCTGATAGGAGTATAATAATAAGTGAATTCAATGAAGTACATTCGGCTTTGAAATTCATATGCGAAGAGGAATCCCAAGACAGAATTGCCTTCCTGGATGTCCTACTTACAAGAAAACCAGATGGTAGCATAAAAAGAAATTTGCATAGAAAAAGCACTTGGACAGGACAATATACACACTTTCACAGCTTCGTTCCTATCAAGTACAAAAGAAATTTAGTGAAGACCCTCAGCCACAGAGTTAGAGCTATATGCTCAGAAGAAGTAATTGAAGATGAATTAAGCATTGTATATGATACCTTGATTGAAAATAGCTATCCCGACAAATTTATCAAGAAACACATGACAAAGAAAGCGGAAAAGGACTACTCACTATCTGTAAACAAGAAGCCTCTTTATATACGACTGAAATTCAAGGGCGATATACCAAGCGAAATAATTACAAAGAAATTAAGAAAATCAGTTCAAAGAACTTTTAATGCTGGCGAACTACACGTCTTATTCTCTACACGACCAATGGTGATTCCCCGACTGAAAGATGAAGTACCTAAACTAGCCACTTCCAACTGTATCTACCAATTCAACTGCGCTTGTGGAGCGAGTTATATCGGCCGTTGCTCTAGGAACTTGATTTTTCGTGCTCACTCGAGAACATCTCCCAGTATGGCTAAGTAAAGGTGTAGTGAAAACCATCAACAGTTCGATATTAGACCATCTGGTGCAAACCGGCCACAAAGCCAGCGTGGAAGAATCCTTCTCTATAATCTACCGGGTGCCTAATAAATTGCCAAAATCATCGAAGTACCGCATGCTTCAAACAGCAGAGGCTATTGCGATTCGCCTCAAACAACCAGTGCTCTGTGTTCAAAAGAAGCAAGTCCAGCTAGCCACTACTACTGTCCTGGTCGGCCTTCAGTAGAGACTATAAATTCATGAATTTGTATTATTATTTTTCCTAATTTTTCTGACATTCAGTTTATTGTTATATTGATGCTGTTGAACTGTAATCTATTAATATTATTGATTCAATGTTATTTAAACAATATTAATGTTGTTAATAACACTAATTCATTCATTCACTATTAAGGATGGATATATAACTGTAGAGCCTGATGATGAAGGGGTTATCGAAAAGAGTACTTTTTGTTCAGTATCCATTCTCTTGAAAATTCTATTTCTATAATTACTACTCACCTCTTGTGCTTCAACATGTTGAGCAGGATGACTGAGTACTTTTTGACCCATTTCTTTGGCTTTTTCCACATTTCCAAGGCGAGCATAACACTTTGCCAAATATCCCATTGTTATTAATGATCTACCTGGAGCCACTTGAATCAAGAAAAACCAAATGAAGGGATCGATCATATACTTGTGTAGTCATAGGGAAAAACATACACACAAACAAACAAACTCAAATATATAAATATACATATACTACTTACATGATTCGCATTTAAGCATATGCTCCAATGCCTATAAAAAGAGAAGATAATGAAAACAATCCATGACTTCTTACCTTCTGATAGGAGAATTCGTTCCCCGTATATTTGGTACCTTTGAATAATTCCGGTTTAAACTTGTGAAGTTCCGCCATAATAAAGTGCCTTTAACAGAGGTATGATTTGAAGAAAGTGTTATACACTTACCACATCCCAAGACTACTTTCTGTTATAAAGTTATTCGGGTCATACTTTTGAGATTTCTGTCATGTAATAATAACAATAATTCAAGTGTTAGTTTGTAGGGATTTGATTGATTCGTTACAGGATTTCATCATGAGCTGACATTGGTTAGAGAACCATTGGAAAACCAGCTGGGAGTACTGGACAGCCGTTTCGTCCCAGTTTGGGACTCTTCATCAGTACGCGCCCAACACAAAAGCGGGCTCGTAGATCATTAAGCCACCAGTGAGTGCGTACTGGTGAAGAGTCCCAAACTAGGACGAAACTGCTGGTTTTCCAATGGTTCTATAACCAATGTCAGCTCATGATAAAATCCAATAACAATAATTATTACTACTGAGTTAGGTTGACTTACAGTCCATAAGTCGTACAGGATAGAGACATTCTTGAATCTTTCTTCGATACCCTTTAGTCCACTAGATTCATCCATCATTATACCATACCACTTGAAAGAGGAGGAGGGGGAGGAAAAAAGAATGCGATTTAGACTTTTTTTATTCATTTAACAGAACATACCGATAAAGCATTTGCATGATTCGGATTTATGTCGACCGCTTTTTTAGCAGCATCCATACCATCTTTGAAGTATTTTGCACAAACATCACTAGCTGGTTTTGCCGGGACATAGTAAACTATTCAGGGTAATAAAAAAAGGAAGAGTTTTATTGGTTTTATTATGCAAAAGCTTACCACCAAGGAAACAAGCTCTGGCCCTCCTCCATAATAGTTCAACATCATTACTGTTCGATTTTAATCCCTCTTCTAAACGCTTACAGGATTCAGCTACTGCTCCTTTCTCAAGTAGTGCATCAACTTCTTGTGCAACAGCACTCATTATGCTTTCCAATTAGACCTTAATGTCAACTGTTGTATACATGCATGTTTTATACATGTAAACGCCTTTACCAACTGACCAATCACTAATGCTTGATCTTTATTCATGTATTTATATTTGTCAATTTGATGGTATTAATGTCATTAGGTATATTAAACCATCACACGCACACACACACACACACTTTTTCTTAGTCGATAATGTCTTTATTGATTGACAACAAACATATCTATGCATACTACTACACAAATCATCATCATCATCACTGTCATATGATGTGTAGGATACTGATGACTTCATGGTGTAGCTTTTACATCATGATTAAAGGTGATCAAGTTTTTCACACACATACGCACACACTCAAACAAACACTTTCAAATTTTGTGCTAACGTAATAAACAATTTGATAGTTTGGTATTGTATTCTCAGTATCAATTTATCCTTTAATTTTCATGAATTAATTATGCTTATAATATGTAATATAAGAGGGAAGGTAATATAAAGAGGAAAGGTTACCTCGTGGAACTACCAAAGAAGGGCGACCTAGGACTGTGCAACAACTGGCGAGGAATCATGCTCCTGTCGACGCCAAGTAAAATCCTGAGTCGCATCATCCTGGAGAGAATAAAGGACGCACTGGATACAGAACTCCGACCAGAACAAGCTGGATTCAGGAAAGGCAAATCATGTTCTGACCAAATTGCAACTCTACGCCTCATCATCGAACAAAGCATGGAATGGCAATCAAACCTCTACCTCAACTTTATAGACTTTGAGAAGGCATTCGACAGCGTTGATCGCGAAGTTATTTGGAAACTACTCGAGTACTATGGCGTACCCCAAATATTCATCAACCTTATTCAACAACTGTACGACAACGGCACATGTCAAGTGATCCACAACGGAAAACTCAGCGAAGCGTTTCGAGTAAACACAGGAGTCAGACAAGGGTGCTTATTATCACCAATGATATTCCTAATTGTGGTGGACTGGATTATGCGTCAGACAGTGGGAAACGAGAAGACAGGGATATCCTGGACCGACGTGAAGAACCTAGAAGACCTGGATTTCGCGCGTGGATGATTTATGTTTGATGTCACACAAAATCGAAGACTTACAAGCAAAAACCGACAAACTGGTCGAAGAAGCAGCAAAGACAGGACTCCAGGTGAACATAGACAAGATGGAGGTTATGAAAATAACCAACCAACGACAGCAACATCCACCGCCAATCACCATCAACGGGAGGGATTTGAAAGAGGTTACTTCTTTCACTTATCTAGGGAGCATTGTCTCAACCACAGGAGGAACGGAAGAGGATGTCAAATCGAGAATCGGGAAGGCGAGAAACACACTCATCAACCTGAAACCAATCTGGAAATCTTCGTCACTCAGCCTGCATCAACAACAAAGTGATTCGGATTTTCAATACAAACGTCAAGTCAGTCAGTTCTTCTATACGTGCGGATCAGAAACTTGGCGGGTCACCAAGAATATTTCCAACAGCCTGTTGCAGACCTTTATCAACAGCTGTCTTCGTTCTATACTCAAGATCAGATGGCCGGAAAGAATCACAAACAAGAAACTATGGGAAGAAACAAAACAAGAACCAATCGCTCAACAAATATGCAGGAGGAAGTGGAGATGGATTGGGCACTCGCTGAGGAGGTCGTTGGGTGACATCGCGCATCAGGCCATCGCTCAAGTGGAACCCGAAAGGGAAGCGGCGAGTGGGACGTCAGTGCAACGGTGACATGGAGGAGATCGTGTGAAGAGGAACTGAAACAGTATGGATTAACATGGACGCAAGTGAAAAATACAGCAGAAGACAGAAGCAAGTGGAGACGTGTAGTTGAAGCCCTATGTTCCACTAGGAACCCAAGGGAACAATAATAATAATATGTAATGAAGTCAAAGCCTGAAATGGTATTTAGTGTGTGATCAATCAAATCGTGAGCTTATTATGAGTTATTAGGAATAAAGTTGTCAGTTGAAATGAGAAATAAATAGAACTCAGGCAATGAGTATAATTCTATGAAAGAATAAATTTAATTGGTGGATGGTGACTAGCAGTGGAATCAAGGATAACGCGCACTTCGCCTGTCCCATTAAGGACTCGTCAGCTGGATGTACCTGCATTTCTCACTGAGTGATGATGTTCCCACTGAGGCTCGAACCCAGTGCCTATAGTTTCAAACGCCAAAGCGTTATCCACTAGACCACTTGGGCCAAATCTAAAATTAAATTAAATTAATATGACCCGTTGCACAAGAGGTGACTCTCGTGGCCCAAGTGGTCTAGTGGATAACGCTGCGGCGTTTGAAACTGTAGGCACTGGGTTCGAGCCTCAGTGGGAACATCATCACTCAGTGAGAAATGCAGGTACATCCAGTGACGAGTCCTAAATGGGACAGGCGAAATGCGCGTTATCCTGGATTCCACTGCTAGTCACCATCCACCAATGAAATACTAATTAAATGCCCACACATAGTCGAAGCATCTGCACAAAAAGCGGACATGTCAACCTGAGACCGAGTACTTCGGTCCAATCAATCGACGGGAAAATCAAAAATTCAATTTTTAAAAAGAGAATAAATTTATTCGATAAAACCACAGTAACACAGTACTGTTTATTCAAAGATGACGTTTTTTAGCCCAGTTTATTGTCACTCATTATCATGATATCAAGGCATTCACACAAAACTTTTAAATTTCGTCTATATGATTCCATTATTTCTTATCTTTTGATTTGATTGGTAGTAGTATTTTCCATATCTGTGATTAGTCCAGTTTCAAGTGTCAGGTGTAGTACAATCGATGAATAAAGATTGTGTGATCAGTCTATCCCTTCACTTACTTATATCACTTTTTAGAACTTTACTTTTAAGCAGTTTGAAAATCTACTACAATTAGTCGACATAAAGCACCAAAAATTCGAACTTTTAACACCAATGTGAAGTCAGCTAGTGCTCCTATATATGAGTTAGAAACTTGACGTGTGCGTCATCGAAAACATTTCTGGCAGATTACTGCATCAAAAATAAGATCCGGATTTTCAACTCCAATGTGAAGTCAGTCAGTGCTACTACACGGATCAGACACTTGCGCTGCGCGTCACAAAGAGCATCTCAAACAAACTACAGACCTTCATTCACAGTTGTCTTCGCTCAATACTCAAGATCAGATGGCCGGCCAGAAAAGATCAGCAACAGAGATCTCTGGCAATGAGCGAACCAACCCAGCAGGAACCGATTGTGAAACAAATAGGCAGAAAGAAATGGGGGTGGATTAGCTGTCTATACTCTGGGAAAACCATCAAGTGACATCACACGCCAGGCCATTGCTCGAGTGGAACCCGAAAAAGAAGCGGCGAGTTGGTCGTCAGTGCGAGGGTGGGTGACTTGGAGGAGGTCATGTGAAGAGGAGATGAGAGCGTGTGGGCAGACTTGGAGCCAGGTGAAGACTCTAATAGAGAACCGAATGCAATGGAGATGCACGGCTGAAGCCCTATCTTCCTCTAGGAATTAAAGGAAACGATAATAATAATACTTCAGACTTTTATCAACAGTTACATTCTATCGTTACTGAAGATCAGGTGGCGAGGAAGAATCAACAACGAGAAAATCTGGTAGAGAACCTACCAAGAAACTATTGCTCAAGAAAATTTGCCACAAGAAATGGAGATGGATTAGACGCATGCTCACGAGAGCGTCGAATGACACAGAGCGCCAAGCATAACCTCAGGTGGAACCATAGTGGGAAACAGAGAGTGAGGCTTCTAAAAGTGACATGGAGGAGATCATGTGGGGAGAAGAAGAAGAGAGACTATGGGAAACCGTGGGGCTAGCTAGAGAGGACCACAAAGAATAGGACGAATTCCACATGTGTTATTGAAGCCCTATGTTCCACTTGGAACCCAAAGAAACAATATTAAATAAATAATAATCTGTCCCATCCTATTGTGTGATTATGTTTCAATCCATCCACTTTGATTGTTGAGTTTCCCTCTAGGCTATTCATCTTCCTGAGGTCAATCATTCTACACTCAGCTGAATTCTCATGTTTTGATAATTTGAATACCCCCCCCCCAATCTACTGATCTGATCTATGTATTTGATCTTACAGTCATTACAATGTATTCTGTAGATTACATTATTTTGTTTAATTGAGTTGGTAGGGTCCTCTAGTCTACAAGGCTTATCCCAGTGTGGTTCTGTAGGTTTAAGTACCATCCCAATCTCTGTTCGATTAAGAATCCTACACCTGGTTGCAGATACCCCTTCCTTATATGGCCCAACTGTAGATGTCTTAAATTCCTTCTTATTTATTTAAAGTTTAGTAATTCTAATCATTTTTTTTCTATTCTCTTGTCAGCTTTCTTGATTTTCTTCATGGAATTTATGTGAAAGCATCAATGCTTCATTTCTTCATTCAATTTTAGATTTTTCGTCGACTGACTGGACCGAAGTGCTCGGCTGCATGAGAGGTGGCTCTCGTGGTCTAGTGGATAATGCTTTGGCGTTCGAAACTATGGGCACTGGGTTCGAGCCTCGGTGGGAACATCATCAATCACTGCGGAATGCAGGCACATCCAACTGACGAGTCCTAAATGAGACAGGCGAAATGCGCGTTATCCTGGATTCCACTGTTAGTCACCATCCACTTATTAACTTCATTTCTTCATGTAGAGTATCACTGGTTTAGTTAGACGCCTGTCTTTACAAAACAACTCTAATACTAGAGATATGGAAAATATTACTGGCATTGAGATCAAAGGATAAGAAATAATGGAATCATGTAAACGAAGTTAGAAAGTTTTGTGCGTGTGCCTTGATATCATGATTGTGAGTGGCAATAAAACGACGCTCAGAAACGTCATCTTTGAATAAACAATACTGTGCCACTGTGTGTGGTTTTTAATCGATTTAATTTATTCTAAGATGCAATGAAGCTGTCAAGTCTCATTAAATGACATGTTCTTATTCAACCAATCAGCTGGG